TGAGAAAAACTGGATAAATTATGTTACTGCATTTAAGCCGATGAGGGAGAGAATAGTTTAAAGTAATATATTTTAGGTCATTATGATTTTCTTAAGAGTCTGGAATGAGGATTGCAGAGTGGAATATACTCGGGGTGGTGGTGGGGGCTGGGGGATGTAGGGTGTATTATATACCAATGAAGGAGTTTTTCTTCTGCTTTTCAAGGAGAAGAGTGAACTGGGGGTGGAGGTGGGCAGGGAGAAAAGTGCAACAATGAATGAATGGAAATCCAAAATGTCTGTAGCTGTTCATTGAAATTAACATAGTAATTAAGTCTATAAAACACAATATATATGAATGTATGAAAGTTAAAGATTGTAGCAAATACAATGTACATGAATGAAACACAGTGTAGATGAATAAATACATGCAAAATTTAAAAAAAATAGACTATCAGTTTAAAGCACAAAGCCCCTGATCCAATCCATTGTTTCATATACAAATAAAACTTGGACAATGAATGAGGAAGACTGAAAAAGAATTGATGGCTTGGGATTTTGGTATTGGTAAGGAATATTGAATTTACCATGGATTGCCAAAAAAATCCGAAAACCAAAAAACAAAACAAAACAAGACAAAACACACCCCACCAAATTTATCTTGGATGAAATGAAGCCTGAATGCTCCTTAGAAGCAAGGTTAGGCATACTTCAACTCATCATACTTGTTGTTGTGTTGTTATGTGCCGTTGAGCTCTTGCAACTCATAGCAACCCTATGTACAACGGCTCTAAACTCTGCTCTGTCCTGTGCCAATCTCACTGTCTCCGACACTCATCCCGATTGCCCCAGTCACTGAATCAATCCATCTCCAAGAGGGCCTTCCCCTCCTGCACCTGCCTTCCACCCTCCCAAGCATGATGTCCCTCTCCAAGGATTGATCCCTCCTTACAACATGACCAAAGTATGTTAGACAGAGCCTCAGAATCCTTGCCTCCAAGGAGCAACCCGGTTTAACCCTCTCCAGGTTGAATCTGTTTGTTTTCTTAGCAGTCCATGGCACCCTCAGCACTCTTCTCCAACACCAAAGCTCAAAAGCAACAATTCTCCTTCTATTCTCCCTAGTCATTGTCCAGCTCTCTGATGCATAAAAAGTGATTGCAAAGACCATGGCCTGCACTTTGGAAAAGGTCACAATGGCTGGAAAAGTAGAGGGTCAGCAAAAGAGAGAAAGAACCTAAATGAAATGATCGACATAGTAACTGACACAATGGGTTTAAGCGCAGCAGAGAAAGCTCTGGTGGCCTAGTAGTTAGGAGTTGCACTGCCAACCCAAAGACACATAATTGAGTCACCACTTGTTCTGTGGGGAAAAGATGGGCTGTTTCTTCCTGTGCAAAATTTACAGTTTTTTAAAACCTTCTGGAGAGTCAGCTATGAGTCAGTTCTCATTCTGCAACATTTAACAATGGGAAGTACAGCAGAGATTGTGAGAATAATATAGAATCAGGCAGGGTTTTTGTTTGTTTTTTTTAAATAAGATTACAGTAAATTGGAGCCAACTTGGCAGTACCTATCAACAATAACAACGTTAATAGATGTGCTATTCTCGGGTATGTAAAAGAATCTTTTTGTGCTTTAGGGAGCACTGGTGGTGTAATGGCAAGAAGCTGCACTGCAATCCCAAAGGCATGCAGTTTGAATCCACCAGCTTCTCCATGGGAGAAGGATGGGCTTCTCCCGTGCTTCTCTTTGTGCTTTGGTTTCCTCACTTGAAACAAAATAGGATTTAATTTACAAGATAATGTAAAAATTAAATGAAATAATTATTAACAGTGCTAATTATTAATATTATTATCATTATAAATAACATTTTAAACTTAGAAAGGAATCAAAAGATTATTCTAAATTTTAAATGGGAAAACTAAGGCCAGGGAAGGTAAACTGTTATCAACTTCTCATGACTAATTCTTAGCAGAAATAGGACTAAACCAAAAAACCAGCCACCAATTTATTTGTTCGATCTCATAATGACCTTACATGTACTAGAATACAACATGCTTCATAGGGTTTTCAGTGAGAACTTTCAGAAGTTATGACTAGGCTTGTCTTCTGAAGCACTTCTAGGTGGACTGGAATAGCCAACCTGTTGGTTAGCAGGTGAGCATGTTAATTGTTTGAACTACTTAGGAACCTCCAGAAACAACTAGAACGCTATTATGTTTTTTGAAATATAATTTCATTTTTCAATGTCAGGCATTTCTGAATGATTAGAAGTCAGTGAAGACAATCATCATTCAATTTTAAAAACTCTCTCATGGACTATTACTAAGGTTTTGCTGAAAAGAATCTTTCAAAGAACAACGGGAAATTAATAAACTATTCTTTAATTAATTTTATTTAATAATCCATGTCTAAGTACTTCTCTGCTCCATAAACACTCATGCTGATGCTTTCTTTTTGAAAGTTGTAGAAGATGGAAATGATTCCTTATGTATTTGAGTGACTATATGCTGCTACAAGGAGATGCTGAAGGTTAAGGATGTTTCATTCGTTTGTCTCTTCTCTAGATGAAAAGAGAAAAATGTTGGCTTCTCCAAGTATGAAACAAAGAAACTTGTAGAAGTGGGATGTTATTTATTTTTTTGGTCATGTTAATTAAGATGCGTGTGTACCAGGCCATAAATGTTTAGGTAAACTAGTGGCATCCACTTCCTAAATAACATGCCTCCAGAAACACTATGAGCTTTGATAAATATTCATAGTTGTAGACGGGCTTCAGGCCTTTTGTTCATAGTGTTGCTATGAGTCGTGCTTGACTTGAAGACAATAAAAAACAATCTCATAGATGCTTCTACTTTTCAGAATTCTTTCTTTTTTAATTGTAGAAATGCAAAAAACAGTATTTGCCAATGTATTGTTGTTCATATTTATGGTTTGATGGCACCACAATGTTGCTCATGCTAAGTAAGCATCATGTGATTGTCTGGGGTGTGTTTACTCACCTGAAGTTGAGACTTGGCTACTAGCTCCTGGTAATACGGGGACTGGGAGTCAGTGAGATCTTCCTTGAGCCTCTGGCTAGCCAAGGTGATGCTGAGCTCCACCTTCTGCTCCAGCGGATCTTCAAGCACATTAGTGAGTTCTGTTTCTCTTTCCTGAGTTAAAACCAGAAGGACTTCTATTAATATGAAACACAAACAAATGATTGTAGCTTGCTATATTTATTGATGTTTTGTCAAGAGATAGTTGTTCCTGTGTGCCACTGAGTTGGAACTAATTCATAGTTGACTTTCCAGTGTGTTTTTAGAGGCTGTAAATTTTATGGGAGGAGATGTTCCTGTGGAGCAGCTGGTGGATTTGAATCGCAAACCTTAGGGTTGACAACACAACTTCTTACCACTGGGCTACCACTGCTCCCCAAGAAAAGCATTACGGAGGCTCAAGTGCCTTTACACTAATATTCTTAGTAATTTAGAAGAGTCTTCTGAATTTCTGAACAACAAAGTACCAAGGCATGATCTTTGTGAAGCCTACATACACATTTACATTGCTGGTGCATCATTAGGATTGCACTATATCCTTGAATTTACAAATGCTCTTTAATGAGAACTAGATTAGATGAAATAACCTATGAATGTTGAGAATGGTTTAATGAAATCACTAGTACTTCAACTTCACATTGAAATTAGTTCAATAGCACAAAAGAAGGTTTGAAATTCCTCTAAGAAGGAGTGGTATATTTGGGCCATATTTGGCAGTATTTGTCAAGTGTCTAAGAACAGAAGAAACACTTCTCTGAGAATCTGTATTTGGTCTCTGATGCCAAAGGGATACAGGTTGCTTGTCTCCATGGCGTCTGATCTGGGAACAGTGTTCTTTAATTGCTCTGAGTTCACTTGGGGTCTCTTGGCACAGAGCAAGCTTGGAGGTTGAGGTTAGACAGATTCAGGTGCTCAGACAATTCCAAGATCTTCACAACTTTCTTCAAAAAGTAGAAAAAAATACATGCATAAAGTAAAAGAATATCTCTTCTAATGTGTAGGATTTCTTTGAGTGTATTTAGAATCGAGGCAGCACACAGGACAAAAAAATGGAAAATGCCACTAGAGGCAGAATTTAACTGAGTGGTAGCTGGCACAGTTCCTCTTTTTTTCATACAGGTGGTGGATAATAATACAGCCTTTAGCTTGAATTGTGCACACAATGCTGTAGTAGAGTCATATTTCACTGACTATCGATGTTTATTTAGCTGAAATTTTCATTCATTAATTTAAAAAAAATTCACATTGGGTGTCTGTATGGGGGTGGTATCCTCATCTGCATGTGAAAGCTGGACAATGAATAAGGATTACCAATGAAAAATTGTTGCTTTTGAATTACTGTACTGGTGAAGAATATTAAATATACTATGGACTGCCAGAAGAATGAATAAATCTGTCTCAGAAGTAGAACAGCAAGAATTGCCCTTAGAAGTCAAGATGCCGTGACCTCATTTTATGTGCTTTTACATTATCATGAGGGACCAGTCCCTGAAGGACAATAAGCTTGGTAAAGAGTCAGGAAAAAAAAGAATGAAAAAAAAGAAGAAGAAGAATATCTTCAATGAGATTGTTTGGTACAACAGCTACAGCAGTGGGCATACATCAAACACTATGTGTATGTTGTAGGGCAGCACAGTATTTTGGTCTGTTACATAAGGTCACTATGAGTGGGAACTGACTGGAGGGCAGTCAACAACAACAACAACAACAACAACATGTAGTAGAATTTATCGAGAATTAAACGTATAGCATATGGTGTTATACTCTAAAAACTTATCATATCACTAGATTGCTGCTGTTGTGTGCTGCTGAGTCGGAACTTATGCATACCTGACCCTCCAGTGAATTTTCAGAAACAGTACATTGAACAGGAGGAGGCTGCCCATCCTTCCCTGCAGAACAGCTGGTGGATTCGAGCTGTGTGTCTTTGGGTTTTCAGCACAGCTTCTTATCATCAGGCTGCCTAGGTAGACTTGATAGTTAAACAAATACTTTAAATGCATTAGTTAGCGTTTCCTAACTTTACTTTTAGCTTCTAGACTGGGTTTCTTTGCCTTACATAGTGTTCCTGATAACCTTATTGTTGTGTGCTGTCAAGTTGGAACAGACTCATAGCTGACCCTCCAGAGGGTTTTCGAGGGAGTTAATCTCATGGGAGGAATTAGCCTGTTCTTATCCCTTGGAGCAGCTGATGAATTTGAACGGTGTGCCTGCGTGATTTCAGTGCAGCTTCTTGCTACTATTATGTGCTGTCAAGTCACCGGAGCCTCATAGAGACCCTATGTACAACAGCCCTAAACCCTGCTCTATCGAATCTCATTGTCTCTGACACACCTACCTCCATAACCCCATTCACTGAATTAACCTATCTCATAGAGGATCTTCCTCTCCTGTGCTTTCTCTCCACCCTCCCAAACATGACTTCTCTCTCCAAGGGACTGGTCCCTCCTTGCAACATGTCCAAAGTATGTCAGACTAAGCTTCAGAATCCTTTCTTACAAGGAGCAGCCTGGTCTCACCCTCTCTAGGATGGACCTATTTGTTTTCCTAGCCTCTTCTTGCCGCTATTAGCATCGGATAATACTAAAATTCTTTCCCCACATCTTCAAGTCTCTCGACAATATGATTTCAACCTATCTGATCAACTTGACTCACTTCTGTGGCCTGACATTTGTGGTATATAAGCTGACCACCGGAGCTCTCTATTCGCTGTTTTTCAGACACCACTCTGCTTATGCTCATCTCCCGATTGGAAAGCCACTTCTCCACTTCCTACATTCTCTGTCAGCCATAATCCATTCCCATGGCCACACACTTTTAAAAAGTTCTCACCAATATCTTGTGATCACTCTAAAATACTACCGATATCCCGTGATTCATTTAAAATACTACCTCTTCTGACAATCTTGGACAGAAGAACTATTTGCCTCTCTGAATTCCTATAACATTGATTAACCTCTGAATCACTCACTTGACACCTATTATAAATTTACCTAGATCTTCTTTTTGTATGCAAAACTACATATAATCTCCTTGAATCTTGCACGATTCTCACTCTTCACGGAATGTCCCAAAGCAGAAAACATAAGGCTACTTGTGCATAAGTCAGTAAATAATGTATGACTTGAGGGTCACTTTTTTGCAATCTATACTGGCATATCATTTGTCCCATTTTATATACCTGTTATATTTAATCATAGCCTTTAGACATTTTGTTGTGCTTATTTGCATTGTGAAGTCCTTGAAGACAAGGATTGTGTCTTGTTCATCCTAATAGCTCTAATTTATAACCCAATGTAAGATACACCAGAAGGTTTTAATAAAATGTTTGCTGAACAAAAGAATAAGTGAGTGACACGTGTGGTAAAAAAAGATTTTAAGAGGAGGATGCAAAGAATGTGAAATGAAATATTCAGGGGATATTTACTGGAGAAAGCAAGAGCTGTGCTAGATTTTGAGGAGATGAAACAGGCAGCTTGAGAGAGAAGGCAGACTTCAGCTGATTAAGAAATTGTATAGTGAACATATTTAATCTCAATAATTTTTCCAATGATGCTTTTTGTTCTTGTTGAGATAGAATCTTGGAGGAAAAGAAAACACTTCTATTTTTTGTTCATGCAAATTTCTGGTTCAGTAGTAGAATTCCACGTTGGCTGGCCTGGGTTCAATTCCAGTCAGTGCCCCTCATATGAAGCCAACACCCACAAGCCAAAGGAGGATTTCAAGTTGCTATGATGGTGGTTCCTGCCAACCATTCTGTGACTGTACAGGAAAAAGAACGAGAGTTCTGCTTCTTCTTTTTCTTTCTTTCTTTTTTTTTGTCAGATGATTTTATTTTTAGTTAACAGTAACATGCTACAGACTATGCCATCAGAGCGCCTTGGAAGACCTGATGTTTACATAGAAGGCCTTCCGGAAGCTCTGGTGGCATAATCAATATTATCTCCAGCCTCATGGAGTTTCCACCAGCGACAGCTTGGGAGAAAGATAGGCAATTGCTTCTTCTTTTTTTTTTAAAAAAATTAATTTTAATGAACATTTACAGAGACTTTGGATTTCCATTCCTTCATTGTTGCACTTTTCTTCCTGCCCTCCCCGCCCCCCACCCCCAGTACACTCTTCTCTTTGAAAAGTAAAAGAAAATTTACCCCAATGTTTTACAGTTCCTCCTCCCAGGTCCACTCCTCTATGCATCCTTCGTTCTGGACTTGTCATGACAATAATCTTGTTGTTGTTATGTGCCGAGGAGTTGTTTGCGACTCATAGCGACCCTATGTACAACAGCCCTAAACTCTGCTCTGTCCTGTGCCAATCGCAATATCTCTGACACTCCCATCCCGATTATCCCAGTGACTGAAGCAATCCACCTCATAGAGGGCCTTCCCAAGCATGATGTCCCTCTCCAAGAACGGGTCTCTCCTTACAACATGTCCAAAGTATGGTTAGACGGAGCCTCAGAATCTTTGCCTCCAGGGAGCCGCCCGGTTTAACCCTCTCCAGGATGAATCTGTTTGTTTTCCTAGCAGTCCATGGTACTCTCAATACTCTTCTACAGGACCACAGTTCAAAGGCATCAATTCTCCTTCTATCCTCCTTGGTCATTGTTCAACTCTCTGATGCATAACAAGTGATTGAGAAGACCATGGCCTGCATCAGATGCACCTTAGTCTCCAGAGAGACACCATTGCTCTTCAGTACTTTGGAGAGGCCCCTAACAGCAGACTTTCCCATGGCAATAATATTTGTGATAATTTTCCTTTTTTCTGCATTTCCTTTTCACTCAAATAAGTTGGCCATTGCTTCCATCTTTTTGGAACACTGGTATTTTTTTCTCATTTTGACACATAAGATTTGGATCATTTTCTTTTTCTCCATTATAATGGACTCTGTGGTACCTAACAGCAACAACCAAACCAAGATGCCTTATTCATTCAGGTCATGGTGACAAGCAAAGCTTCTATTCTTGCTATCAAAATGGGATTGTCTTTAGTGGAGAAAGAGCTTGATTGATTGATTGCTCTGTGAATCAATTTACTCATTAATTCATTCATTTCAATATGTGGTGAAAATCTGTTGTATATAAGGTACTAGGTGAAGAGAGAACTCCTGACCTCCTGGAATGAAGTTGCTTCTTGTAATTTCATCTACTTTTTGCAGTTCTCAAGCCATTTTTTCCCTCACACTTCTCAGAAAGTAGTAGAGCAAAAGCATTGAGTCATAATCTGTGGGGTAAGAATGCAGTGCTAATAATTCCCAACAGCCAATTAAAAAATAAGGAACTTGAAATTTCACATAATGACCTGAAAGGATCCTCAGAAGAACATACCTTTGCAGGCATTTCGGTGTCATTGAGGGCACCGTGGAGAATCTCATTGAGGAGTGCACTGTCAGGAGTGACAGGGAAAGGCTGAAGTGAGGCACTGGCAACATCTGAAGAAATGAAGAAAAAAAAAATTAGAGCAACAACAAAAAAATCAGGCTAGAAGCCCTTAAAGTAAAACAAGGCCAAAAATTCCATAAGATTTCCCTGTCACTCTGAAATTTATAAGTATTACTTTATTCTGAATCCATTTATTTTATTTATGATCAAATAAATACATGAGAAAAATTTTATTTATTCTTTTCTTACTTAGAGATATGGTTAGGTTCCAAAGATCAAATTATTATGTGAAAAAGAGTATGACCACATAAGAACACAAAATAGAGGATTTACATGGATTACATAACTGTCCAATCATACAATTATATAACCACCAAACCACTGAGAAAGAGACCAGATCAAGTGACAGAGTGCTTCAGCAATCAAAGTCAGTGTTACTTTCACTTCACACCTTGGCGTTTATTACTGCCAGACATTTATTTTTAATGTGAAAAATAATGTATTTTTCATTTTGTATAGACTATGCCACCATATCTCCTTAGCGTAGACTCCTAATCCAAGTGGAACTCTTTCTTTTTCCTCTTTTGAACGAGATTATAGTTACATTTACATTTATATTTATGTTTCTGTTTACGTTTACATTTATAATATATATATATAAACCCTAGGCCCAGGCTGGCTAGCCTCACTCCAGGTACAGAGCAAACCTGCACATCAAACACATTCTCGGAAAAGCAGTCCACTCCAAAGCTTGCCACGATTCCTGCACTCCCCACCACCATGCTCCTGCCTTCTGGCAAGTAGAGCTTCCCACGAGCCTGTGAAGGCGCCAGCTAAACCAGGAACAACATGGCCGATTCCTTCCCGGCTTCCTTCAGCTTAAGGCCACCTCCTGGGTCAAACCCTAGGCCCAGGCTGGCTAGCTTCACTCCAGGGACAGAGCAAACCTGCATGTCAAACACATTCTTTGTGAGCTTTGGAGTGGACTGCTTTTCCGGGAATGTGTTTGACGTGCAGGTTTGCTCTGTCCCTGGAGTGAGGCTAGCCAGCCTGGGCCTAGGGTTTGAACCAGGAGGC